ACCATACTTCTTACACTGATCACATTAAACTAGTGTACCTTGTTATATCCCTCGTCCATGACCACGAAATGACGCTCGACCTCTTTCTCGATCATGGAAATATCTACATCGTTCTCCTTGGATTTGAAATGCACATTCTCCATCTTGAGTCTAGGTTATGTTGATTCTTTCTTTATGTGCTTGTAGTGAGCCCATTAGTTCATCAAATGAAAATGTTGCAAGATCCTTTGACTCTTCAATAGCTGCCACAACATGGCTGAAATTAGAAGGTAGACTCCTTAGTACCTTTGCTACAACTACTTCATCAGAGATTTTATCTCCATAAGCACGCATTTGAATCACTATTGAATATGCTTTTTGTCACTTACTCTTGAACGGTTTCACTTGCTTTCATGTTCAAGGACTAGAATTGTCTTCTTAGGGACTGGAGTTTGACTATGATCACCTTTGTTGATCCTTGATATTCAGTTTTGAGAATGTTCCAGGCTTCTCTTGATGTGACTGTTGCTAATATTCTAGGAAAGATTGTTTCATCAATTGCTTGTTGGATGAAAAACAAAGCTTTTGCATCTTTCTTTTGATTTTTTTCTGATGTGTCTCATATGTGCTTGCTTATGTATACCCATTTTCAACAAGATCCCACAAATCTTGTGACCTAAACAAAGTCTTCATTTTGGTACTCCAAATTTCGTAGGTGTCTGAATATTGGAATTTGAGGTTGAGACATGCTGATAATGTTGAGGTTCTGTGTCATTTGAATAAACCAATGAGACTTGGGTATGCAACCTAAGTTATGATACCAAAATGTTGGTTCAAAACAAATGAAATATGCTAAATGCTGCAAGATAGACATAGTAGAACTTAAACTGAAAAGTAAATACATGAAATATGGAAAATGTTGTATGCTAAATGCTAAAGACTCACGTGTATTATTGATGATAAACATAGAACAGAAGGCAACTATAAATAGTAGAACTTACAACTGAAAAGTAAATACTGAAAATATGGAAAGGCTTGAGTAAATACATGAAATATGGAAAGACTTCTAGTTGTTATGACTTATGAAGACTAGATACGAGAGTACTTTATTTCATTGGGTAACTTTGAATTAGTCTTCAACAATATTTATGAAATTTGATTTTTTTTTTTCAATCTAACTTTTCTAAATAAAACAAAAATTGTTAAAGGATTTTTAATTAACATTCAAATTGAACCCTCCAACACTTGGCGTGTTCGGCAAAAATAGCATATAGTTTGTAGCGAGTAGCGGGTAGCTTCTAGTTTGTAACGTTTTGTTAAATGCTACGTGAAATAACATTTGGATTTGAAGCGTTTTGTTTAAACTAAACGCTAGAAGTCTGAAGTGTCAAACGATATTTTTTGTTCAAAATTGAGCATTTTGTCAAACACTAAAAACTATCAAACGCAAACCCACCTAAAATCACCTAAGAAGAAAAATGGGAAGAACTAGATCATTTGTTGAGTTCATTAATGCGTCAAAAAGCATACGTATTATTCAAAACTCTATTGTTCGATTTTACCAAATAAGCCCTAAATGGCGTTAGTATTATGTTCAAATCCGACTTAGATTCCATAAATTTCCTTATTTCTGTCAAAAATTTTGTTAAGCATTAGAACGAACTGAAGTGGTCTGGCATAAAAAACCAAAAATAAACAAAATAGTAGGCTCAAGGAAAATTAAACTCCAAAATAAGCATCCATCCCATTACCCTAACAAATAACTTCAAAGTGTACAACCAAACCTACAACTAAAAAGTAAAACCACACGCAAATCAAATCGGGAATTCCATCTTCGCCAAAGGCTTCATCAATTCCCCGGAATCACCCTCACCCCCATTCCGAAGCCAATCCTTAGCACAAACAATCGCCTCTACCGTTTCCGCCCTCAATGAACACCGATACTGATCCATCTCATTTCTCCCCACTTCAAAAACCGACTCCGGAATCACTGTCGACACCGGAATCGTCAAAATATCCCTCGCCATTTTCGAAAGCGTCGGATACTTCACCTTATTCAATTTCCACCACCCGACAACATCAAACTCATGCACCCTCGGCAACAGCGATTCCTCCAAATACTGATCCAATTCCGACTTCGATTGTTGACTGGCCGTCTCCATTATATACATATCAAAATCCGTCATACCAACTCCCTCAACATCCAAACCACCATCACCCCCCGCCGCCACACCACCACCACCTGCCGCCACCGGAAGCGCAACATACTCAAGAAACAGCTGGTGTATCCCTTCATCCACTAAATTTATATAACTCACCGCTTCCTCCCCGTAAATCTTCGTGAAACTAAACTCAACAAGCTTCATTTTAAACCGCGGATCCATCACCACCGCAATCGCTAGAATCAAACAACAGCTTTTCCAATACCTATCGAAACTCTCCCGCATCGGAATCGCGATTCCGCTGATGGAAACGTCTTCGCTGGTTGCCCCACGTGCCAATTCCAGCCGGATCTTCCATGCTTCGTGGAAGAACGTATTAGTCGTCGGAATTGTTGATGATGTCAGCAGATTCGCGGTATCGAAAAGAAGTTTTAAATACGTGCAAAGATTCTCGACATGATTCCATTCATTCGGGGCTGGGGCTTTGCTGTAATCGGCATCGGAGGTGTCTAAAAAGAAGAACACCTCTTTCAATTCCGATGCCGTTTGTAACATCTCGTAAGTTGTATTCCATCGATTTTGATCATCAAGTTGTAAAGTTTTCGTGCTCGAGACTTGAAGTTGTTGTTTGAGTTCAAGAAATTTCTCTTCGAGAATCTCGTTGGTTTTCACATACTTCACACAGTTTCTCACCTTTTTCACCGCTTCATTACCGGAATTGAGCGCTTCCATTGCAATTCCGGTTAAAGAACGAGCAAGACAGTGATTAAGCAACAAATTGACCACCGAGGATGTTCGGATTCTCTGAAAGCAAACTTTTGAGACTCTCGATTCCAACTTCACTCAAACTCTGGTTTATTGTCAGTGAAAACAATCTCCCCTCCATATTCCAATCCGATAGACAAGAAGCCACCGCATGGCTGAAAGCGGAATCAGATTCCGGGTATGGTTCCATTACAACGTTTAGTAGCTTTCTGTGGATTTTCCAATCGCTATCAACGAATTGACCCGTTACAAAAACATAACCTGTTGTTTGGCACGAATTCCAGAGATCAAGAGTGAGACAGATCCGACCCGGCATCCCTTCAATCAGATTCTGAATCCGTTGCTTCTCTCTAAGATATGTTGCGATACAGTCACCTTGAACAGTGTTAAAATTCACCATTTCAAAACGAGGCTGAAGGTTACGAATGAAAGCCATGAATCCAGGGTGTTCAACGATGTGAAGTGGGTAATCGTGTAAAATAATCATCCGGGCGATCTCCTGGCGACAGGTGTCAGCGTCGTATCCAACGAAAGGGAAATTGGTGGTGGTTCTGTAACGGCGTTTAGGTGCATCAGTGGTTGGAACGGCGGAATCGGGGGTTACCTTTTGAATTGGAGTGAATGGAGAAGATGAGTCATGTTGTTGCTGATTACGAAGAACAACTGGGCAACTTCCTTTTAGCGATGTGACGTTTGAGGTGACTGGTGCCGGCGACTTTGGAACCTGTGCTGTAAGCGAATGATTGTTTACATTGTTTACAGCAAGCTCTTCTGCACCCTAAACCTACGGTTTCGATTGTGAAGTGTTCCCACACCATGGATTTCTTCTTTCGGCGTTTGATTGGTTGTTCTGTGTTGTTTGTTGGCTCGCCGAGATAGACCGGTTCCAGGTGCATCTCCATGTTGACGATGGCATTGTTTGAAGTAGGAGTTAACTCCATGTGAGTGAAGAAGAAAAAGACCTGATTTACACATAATCAAATTAGAAGAAAGTATGGAAATTTTTAACATTCGATTATTGATTGTTTTCGACAGACTTTTAAAAAATATCGAGATACATTTTTAGAATTTTCTCAGTTGGGCCAATTTTTCGAGTCCAATGTCGCTACCAATACAGATAATAAAAATCAAATGAAAATTAAGTTATATTGAAGCAATATACTTCGTACATATAAAACTAAAAAGTCAAAAAGTATCAATTTGAATGTCCATGGGCTGAAGGAGCTGAGCTGAATACCAAAAACCAGATCTAGGGTTTTTCGATCAAATTTGGGCTTTTTCAAAGAAGGTACAAATAATTTAAGCCCAGAGAAGACACGACAGCTTAAAAAATGCAGACGAACATTGAACATTATCGATTAGTTGAGCAGCGAACAAACAAGGCAAAAACAACAGTAAACCATCTTCCGATTCGATTTCAAACAAGCTCAAAAGTTACAGTAAGAAACATGAACAAACTCTTCAAACAAAGAAGCAAAACACAGAATCATCGCAAATGAGATGAGAAAAAAACAAGGTAAAACAGACAGCGAAAGCAGAACAAACTCAAAAACTAAAAAAACAAACAAAGATCAGTGCTAGAATCAAACATATACCTCAAGAACAGCTACAGAAGACAATTACGCGATCTAAATCGAAGAAATCGGGGGCCGATCGGAGAATTCGAGATCCAGAAAGCGATTCTTCGATGCGAGAGAGGAGAGAGAAGATTGGGCTTGAACCCGAGAAATTCAACTGGACTTTTCAATTGGGGTTTGTTGAGAATTTGAAATAATAATAATGATATCGAATTTAGGGGAAAACATAAAACTGTATTGGATATGGACTTTGAGATCCAATGAATTTCCACTGTGTGTTTTAGGTGTTGTGTGTGTAAACTGGACCATGGATGACGGACCTATAGGCGCTATGGTGCGGGTTGGGTGAGGAGTGTGGTGCAGCCCATTCACCCACTTGGTTACTAACTTACTACTTGTTAGGTTTAGCTATTACATGACCGTTTTTGTTTTTAAATACTTAAATTATTATTTTTTTTTAAATATATAAATATAATAAAAAAAATTCTAGAAATTCTAAGAACTCATATAATTGTTTCCCAAATTTGTAAAAATAGTTTATTAGATTGTAATGAAAAATAATACGTCTTTTGATCTAAAGATGATTTGATAATAGTATTTTACTAATAATCAAATTATAAAAGAAAATCAAAATAATCTTATGCGTCAAAGGCAAAACTACTATTTTTCAATACAATTACTAGTATAAAAAGTTGAATTTTATATTTATATTGTGTTTACTGTGAACCATAAAAAAACTATTGCATAACTTAAAACTTAGCATGCATGTAGACCTTAATAAAATTTGATTGTTGCCTTACGGATTGTTTGATTGTTTGATTTCTTGCTGACTCGGTCCGATCAGACATTTTGATTGATCCGGTCCGATCAGTGTTTTTGATACCATCTATTATGCAGCTTACTCGGTCCACAGTCAGTCCATGATGCTCAGATTTGATCTGTTAAAAAAAGAAGTTAACTCAAAATGAACACCTTTTGCCCTTGCCCTTAATGCAGGCACTACATTTCCTTCAATCGATCCATAAAGCTTTTCCTTCCACACCACCAGTTCTCATTCCAAAAACACCCTTTCTCTTCTTCTTGCCCTTAACGAACAACCAGATCGGTCCTCCAAAAAAACATGACGACATCTCCTTCTTCAGCGCCGACTCCTACCACCTCCGGTCTCCTCCCCCAATGCCACCATCCTCCAGTCCAGTCGCCATCACCGCCATCCTCCAGTCCAGTGGTCATCCTCCTTGATTGATTAATCATTGATTTTTGTTCGTAGCTTCTTCAACTAAAATCAAACTCCGATCAAGAATCTCTCTTGATTATGTTCTCTTTATCGCCATCTAGCAACTAACAATCTCACCAAGTCCATCGGTAAGAAATCATTCTTCTATTTATGCAATTCAGTTTCTTCCATCTTCATGATTTTCTCCCTTTATTTCTCTAAGCTTTTTGGATTCACTTATAATCTCTTGACATGGATTTGTTTGGAGCTTTGTAGTTCGTGGATTTTCCCCAATTTTGAACACAGGTCACGCAAGGTACTATGAAATTATTCTTAATTATTATGAAATTAAACCGTTTGTGAGTGTTAATTAAGCAACTCTTGTCTGTGTTTATCTATGGCTTTTGAGCTCTAATCATGATGTTGATTCTTTCATCATACATTGATTTTGATTTATATCAATTTTGATGAAAATAATTGATTATTAGAATGAAATATATAGACTCCATTATAATATAGCGTATCAACCAATTATCATGTTAGGATGATGATGATGATGAAGATTCATCATTTGAATCTTCTCATCTCCTAAATGCATTAAGTGACTTGATGATGCTTCTAAGGATATGATGTTAGATAAGCACAATCAGAAAAGAGGTTTCTTGTTTCTGTCTCTAAAATTGGGTTCTTTGATAGTAGTTATTCTTCTTAAGTGTTTGTGATGAGCCAAATATATAAAAGTATTGTGGATTATTGAGTATTAACATTTGGTTTTTGTTTATACTATTAGGACTTGGTGGATGGTGGAGAAGAATGTGTGAGCACTCTCCCAACATAGATTAATTTTTGCTTGAAAGCAATTAGAAGATGGCATAACTCTTTCCAACAAAGCGCAAAAAAAGATAAAAGAGGTTGACCAAAAAGGGTGTCAAAGGTGACAAAGGTGTGTCAAGGTGACAAAGGGACAAACATGTTACCTCCAATTTGGATTCAGTTTAATTCGGTCTATTGTAACGTCCTAATTTTCGAGGCAAATATTATTTATTTTTATTTATTCAAAACATAAGCCTTACCATTATATTACAAAAACCATTACCATACATTTATTTACACAAGAGAGTTTTAGCGGGAGTCTTAAAACATTATTGACGCCTTCGATGCAGGTACAATCATGTGTGAGCTTTTCCTCGATCGGAAGAACAACCTGAAAAATAGTTATTCAACAATTGTAAGCCGATGGTTAGTGAGTTCCTCCAAGATACCACATACCACAACATATATACAATGCATACACATAATGGCCTTCAACATAAAGTTGGTCCGCCTCTTGGCCTTCAACATAATGTTGGCCCACCCTTTTTTGCCTTCAGCATATAGCTGGTTTGCACTTTGGCCTTCAGCATAAAGTTGGTCCGTCCGATTTTATTAGCCTTCAACACGAGGCTGGTCTGCCTTCAACTCCCTCATAATACATCAACATACATATAACACTCTAAAGAAACTAAAACACCTAGATTTGATATTTCACAACATCAACAATTATTATTCAAGTAAGAATCAATTGGTTTTAATCAACTTACAAAAAGAACCTCACTACAATTCACTCAAAACTCTTACAAATTTACTTAATGTAAGACTCTGTACAAAAAATAAGAACAATCGAAGAAAGGATGAACAAATGATGAACAAACCCTAACTCACTATGAACAAAACCTAACAGACGGAGAGAGAACTCGGTGTAAGTATGTGAAGAATAATGAGCTGATTCTACCCACCAACACATATTCTCCAAATATATACAACAAATCAATAACGGATCAAATATCGGATAATACCCGACCCATTTAACAATACAAATAACATCCACATGCTTTTCCTTGACCAACTTTGCAACTAGAGATCCACAGTCCAAAAGATTCCAGAACATGTCAAACCAAGCCCTCCTACAAATAGCTAACACAACAAAGAAACAAAACTAACACAAACTACCCTAAGAATAAATAATAAATACAAAAAGGATACTACAAGGATATAAATGTGAATTATAATTTTGAATTAGAGAATATTAAAAGCTCAACACCCCTCCTCAAACTTATAATTCAAGAAGTCAACACTTTCCTTGAAAATGATCAATAATACCTAATCTTTTACATATCCAATCATGCTGAGAAGCACCTAATTCCTTAGTAAACACATAATCCAAATTATGATCTGAGTTAACCTTAAAAACCTAACCAATTCCCTTTGAGACTCTATCTCTGATAAAATGAGTATCCACATCAAAGTTCTTGGTCTTTTCATGAAACACAAGATTGAGAACCAGCTTTATAGCTGACTCATTATCACAAAAAATCAGAACAATAGTCTCATTCTTAAAACCAATGTCAAATAGAATTTTCATAATCCATATTATTTCACAATACACAACACTAAGTGCACGATACTCAAATTCAGTGGATGAACGAGAAACAATTTCTTGTTTCTTGCTCTTCCATGAAATGAGAGTGTCACCAAAAAATAGAGCATATCCTGTAACTGATTTTCTTGAAACTAGGCACTTTGCCCAGTCAACATCTACAAAACTTTGAAGACTTAGACAATTTGATTTCAAAATAGAAAACCCTCTTCCAGGATTAGCTTTCAAATACCTTAGAAGTCTCAAAACAATGTTAAATGGGATTTTCTTAGACTGTGCATAAACTGACTTAAAACTTGCACAAAATAAGAAATATCTAGTATGATAATGATGAAGTAAATAAGCTTTGCAACCAATTTTTGAAACATCACAATATTTTGTATCAAACCATCATTTTTATCAACCCCATCTCCTCTAATAATGACATTACTATCTAAAGGAGTTTTTACAAGTTAACAGCCTAACATTCCAAAATCATGAATCAATTCAAGGCAATATTTTCTTTGACGCAAACAATTATCATTATTAATATCAACTACTTCAATACCCAAAAATAATTTTATTTTTCCCAAATCTTTAATAAAAAATTTGGACTTTAAAAATTCTTTAACTTTATCAATTTCGTCTAAGCTATTTCTGTATGAATTCTATCATCAACATAAACCAATAAAACAATAAAGCAATTATTTCTAGATATAACAAATAAAGAAAAATCATTTATACTTTGTACAAAACCAAATTTAAAGAAAGCAGCACACAGTTTTTCGTTCCACTTTCTTAGGGCTTGTTTAAGCCCATATAAGGACTTCAACAATTTACAAACATGATTATTATTTTTATCATGATAGCCAAAAGATAAAGACATGTAAACATCTTCATCTAATTCCCCATATAAAAAAGCATTGTTAATATCAAGCTGAAAAAGTTTCCAACCAAAATTCACAACAAGAGTAATGACAGTTCTAACTGTGACCAATTTTGCTACAGGAGAAAAAGCCTCCTAATAGTCAATTCTCTCTCTCCGATTGTAGCCTTTGGCTACTAAGCTAGCTTTAAACCTCTCAGCCTCACCATTAGATTTATATTTTATCCAAGTTGGATTTCTATATAATGCTTCCATCTCCTCATTCATTGCTTTTACCCAATTAGGATCTAAAGAAGCTTCATAATATGAATGAGGTTCTAGAATTTTCTTTAGATTAGCAACAAAACACTTATTTTCATTATCCAAAAAAGAATAGTTTACAGAATTCTGAATTCCATATTTATATTTACCTTCTATAACAAAGTCACTAAATTTTTGTGAAAATTTAGACTCACGATGAGACCTCCTTAAAGAGTGATTATTAGATGACGTTAAGACATTATTTTCCTCAGAGTTATCAAGAAACTCAGATGTAACTTTTGTGATATGTTGGAGAGGGTTGATTTTGGATTGTAGATGAGATCCTTACCAGTTTCTTCTCCTGATATCACAATACAAAAGAGAGATAATCGTTAGTCGACGTCCGGGAGGAATTCCTTGGACGAAGCTCCGACGATCAAGTTAGTATGAGGTCTGAGTGAGGTAAGAACAGATCACATGAAAAAGAGTTTCGTCCCTTTCTTCGTGAGGAAGACATATCATTTTATACCTGTTTGAGAGGCGTGTGCCTCTCAATTGATTCTGTTGAGCATTCCCTCGTGAGGTGCGACGTGGCAGACCCATACTGGAGGATCCTCCGTCACGTCTTTTGCCTCGTCCCCTCATTGGCTAGAGAGGACTCTTTTAATTATTATGAAGATTGTGGCTATCGTCGGATGGGCAAGTGGAACTCTCTGATTGGTACCACGTTTGTCGGGGTGTAATTCCTTGGAGAAGAGGTTAAGGTGCAGCTATGCACCTTAACCGCCACACCAGTGATCTTCGCGTTGGCGAAGGCCCGACCTTGGCTTCAGACTGGGTCCGACTGGGTTCTGACCAGGCCAAGCCCGGCGTTATTTTGACTTCTCCTTTTTTGACGTTCTCCCTGGGGGATACATTAACAAGTCCCTTAGACTCGTAGGTGTATGCGTCAGATTGACAACGTCGCCGTTCGAGTCTATATCTCAACACGTGTATGTTTGGAATTATCTCTAGCATTCGACACGCCTTAGACAACACCGTCAATGTGTGTCAGATCCATCGTGAGACGGTTCGTGACGCCAATTTTTTCTTTAAAATCCCCCCTTTTCCAAGACCTTTCATCCTCACCTCCTCTCTTTGCTTTTGTTGTATCAACACAAACATCCTACGAATTTTTCTTTTCTATCACTCATCTGTTTTCGACAATGGACCGTTATGGTAGAGTCCCTACTGTAGAGGAATTCCAATTTCTAAAAGATGGTTTCAGTTTCTTACCGGAGAACGGTGTGATGATTCCGGCAAAAGGGGCATCAATTTACAACTGTCCTCAAGGGAAAGTGGGGGTTCCGATCCCTCTGTTCGAAGCGGGGTTGTGTCTGCCGACGTCTGATTTCTTTGACATGATTGTGCATCACTATGGATTCTCCATTGATGAGTTAACCCCTAGCGCTATCAATAAGATCGTAGGTTTTTAATTGATTTGTTGATCTCTGGGTTATATACCCACTTTTTGGGTT